GGAATGCCGCCTTTCTCCCCAGGGGTTGGCCTACTGCGTGAACCCCCGGTGGCTGATGCGCAGCGAGGGGAAGGCGGGGGTTCACGGGGACAGGGAGAGGCGGAAGAGGAAGGGGTGTTCACTCTGGAGCCCTGGAGCCCCGGGGCCGCGAGCTGCAGCACGCCGTCCGCTGGGGCCGGTGAAGGAGCCCAGGAACATTCTCCTACATTCCCTCTTTTGGGATCTGAACAGCCAGAGTAGATTTTTTTTTTGAAAGATACAATTTACAAAATTTTTTAATGTTTTTTTATTTTTGAGAGAGACGCTGTGTGAGCAGGGGAGGGGCAGAGAGAGGGAGACACAGAATCCAAAGCAGCTCCAGGCTCCAGGCTGTCAGCACAGAGCCACACGCGGGGCTGGAGCCCACGGTGACCTGAGCAGAGCCGAACTCAGACGCTTGACCGACAGCCACCCAGGGGCGCCCAGGGTAGATTTCTGATGCGTGCATCCATCACCGATGGGCCTCCGTATCCTGAGGGGACCCGTGTCTCGCCTGGGAAACCCCACCCCGGAGATCTCATCTCTGCTCCAGGGGCCACAAGCCCCCGGCTGCAGCGTGGCCAGGCCACTGCGCAGAGCCAGGAATGAGCAGGACCCTCCCCCTCCCCGGGACACGCAGGTAGGGCTGGGGCTGGACCACCGCGAGGCGGGCTTGCTCTAATCCACAGGGAAAGGACAAAGTGACACGAGGGGCAGAGGAGGGACGGACATCTGCTGAGCCTCAAATTGTGGGGGTTCTGGGAGACCCATCTTCCCGTTCTTCCTGCTTCACTCTGCGAGCCCAGTGCGCAGACGCCGAGGCAGAGAGGAGAGCGGAGTCCAGGACGCCTCGCTCCTCAGCCTGGGTGCTGGGCAGAAGCGGGTGCTCGGTGAGCGCCTGGTGGGTGGAGAGTGTCTGGGCCAAGAGGTCATCCTCAGCCTCTGAAATCTTTTAGGCCCCCAGAGGTGGCCTGGCCCTGACAGACGCCCCCGTGCACACGCCGGAGGGAAGGGGAGAGGGAGGCAGGGGGCGGGGGGCGAGGTGAATGGCCCAGAGTGACCAGAGACTTTCATGGGGAGAGCGTGCCGACCCAGGGACCCAGAAAGAAGCACAGCACAGTCCAGCATTTGGGAAAGCAGTGTGAGCGCTCGGTGCTGACCTCTGGGCCTTTCTAGGGCGACACAAAGGACAAAGCTCACACAACCACTGTGAGTTTTACCGAGTTACCATGGCAACAGGAGGAGTGAGCAGAGACTCCCCCAAACCAGCACTCTTTATTTCAGACAATTTTAAGGTTTCCTTTGCTTCCCATATCTACAAGGGCCAACACACCCTGATGTCCACTGTGTCGTGAGACAGCTCGGGAATAATCTGTGTGCTCACACTGCACAGGGCGGGGGGGGGGAATGTGGGGGGGGTACGCGGGATCCGTTCATTTGTTCTTTCAACAGATTAGGCACGCAGAGCTTTGTTACAAATGCGCATCTGCTCCCTGCGACACTGGCGAAGGTGTGCGAGGGGCTAGAAGCTGCACTGCCTGTGGTTGGCAGTCCTCTGCGGTGGCCCGTGGTCTTCTGTGGTTTTGAAAGGATGCAAGTGGGACACCCTCACCATCGCAGGGGGAGCTCAGGGCGGGTAGGCCTGTAGATCAGCTGCTACAGCTAAGGTGGCAGAAAACACTTTCGAGGGTTCACATGTTCCTTTCAGAGACCCTGGCATTTCCCAAGGGAACCAGGAGATGGGTACTGTGAAAGGGGACAGCTGACATCTCTGTCTGTCGCCACAGAGCCTGAGTGCCCCTGCTGGGGCTGTCTGCCTGCCTCACCACCAAGCGAGTGGCACCGCTGAGTGCGCCTGTGGCCCAGGGGCCACCAGCAGCTGCCCTAGACCCAAGGGACAACCTGGGCGGGTGCAGGAAGCACAGGACAACAACTGGCCTGCCTCACAGCCAAATGCCCAGCACGTGCAGGCAAGCAACGACAGAGTAGAACAGGTTTTCTGGATGTTTCTGGAAGAGACTGGCCCTGGACTTGGTAGACCGAGTGAAGACTATCTGCTGTCAGCAACGCGGGCGGCATCGCTGACGCCACCCACTGGTGGCCGCAGAAGACAGGCAGAGGGAGGGCAACCCCCTCTCTGCTTGCGCTGGAACGTCCACCTCCTCGTACCCTCGGCCACCAGAGCACCGGTTTCTCAGGCCCTCAGGCCTGGACTGTATCCTACCGCCAGCTTTCCTGGGTGTCCAGCTTGCAGACAGAGATCGTGGCCCTTCTCGGGGCTCCGGTCACGCGCCGCCCCTGTAACAAGCGTCCTCGGGTGTACCTCTGTGTATCCTGGTGGCCCTGCTCCTCCGGAGAACCCTGATGGACGCAGTGATAAAGGGCCTGGTCCCGGAACCTTCTTTCCAGACTGTCCTCCTGGAATTAAGCCACTGTTACATCCCAGCAAGTGGCTTTTTTTTTTTTTTTAAAACCAGACGTGCTGAGGGTTGATGTTTTCACAACTGTGCGTCCCAGCCTTCGAAGGCACGAGAGCCTGGTCATCGGCCTACCTCTGGCCACCTCCCAGGTCCTTCCTCAAGGCCACAGCGCAGGCTTTGGGGTGGGGGGCCGGTGTCTGATGGCAGCCTCTGCCTTTCACTAGCCAGCCTCCCCAGTGCCCACTCTCACTGCTGTCTTTCCACCCAGCAGCATGAGAAGAGCCCATGTGTCTTTCTTGCTGGCAGACTTGATGCCACCACATTCTGGTTTCTGTGACAAGAAGCACCTTTAAATACCAAGTGGGGCGCCCTTTGCCAGGTGGCCTCCCAGATGGTATGGTCCTGGGGGCTCCCTGCCACTCCCCTGCACCCTCGAAGGCAGGGACAGTCTCTTTGCATAGAATGAAGGGTCTGGGACAAGGGACGCATGACGTGGCACCTGGGGCAGAGAACTCCTCTAATGGCGGCCAGAACCGCCCAGAAGCAAACCGGGACCTTGTAGGGTAAGGCCGCCCCCTTGGGGACCTGGCTGGTCTGAGCACACCCCCTCCCACCAGGGAAGCCAACAGCCTCCCCGTGCCTCAGGGTGGGCTCCACCTGCCTGAGGATGGGCCTTCAAGTGTTAGGAGGTCTCTAAAGCCCTCACAGGAGGACAGGAAGGGACCCCCCCACAACGACTGGCTCACCCACAATCTTTTTCAAGTGTCATCCTTTTCTTTCTAAAAACTTCTGCAAAGTCCAACAAATAGATGCTTTATAATAAAAAGAATATTCTTAAAAATGTGTTTATTTTGAGAGAGAGAAAGTGGGGGAGGGGATGAAAGAGAGAGGGAGAGAGAATCCCAAGCAGGCTCCTCTCTGTCAGCACAGAGCCCAGCACAGGGCTTGATCCCACGAAACGTGAGATCCAGACCTGAGCTGAAATCAAGAGTCAGACACTCCAACAACTGAGCCCCCCCGCCAGGCGCCCCTGAGGCCAGAATTTTCTGATCCCTCTGGACCCGTGGGAAGTGCTGATGAGGACAATGGCCAGCTGGAGGACCTAGAACGTCAGTCCCCGAATGGTAAAGGACTAAGTCCACTAGGATGTCCCAGCAAAGGTCAGGTGGGGAGCAAACCAGCCCATGTCACCAAAGGCTAACAGGGATAGGTGCCCCCCAGGCAGGGGGTCCCGTCTGTAGCCCAACACGCTGGTACGGGGACCCCAGACATCAGACCTGGGGTGGGAGGGGCCAAACCTGCTTCTCTAGCCTCCCTGGCTTCGCTTCCCTTTGCGAGTAAGATCCCGAAATGGAAGAGCAAGGAAGGGAAGACAGGGAGCCCGACACGCCCTGCTTTGCGCAGCAGGGCCGCCTCGGGGCACGCATGGGACACGGGCAGGAAGGCCTCCCAGGCCGGGGAGCCCCTGACCCCAGGTCACCATCATGGCTGCATCCCCACTTCTAGGGGAGCTCTGGAATGTCAAAGTCCCCCTGGCCACACCCGCGTGGGGTGGGCAGGTCAGCGGGCAGCCTCCCTGCCTGGTCACTCCTGCCCGAGCACGGGAGACGGGGCCGTGGGGAGGGGATATGGACACAGCACGGCGCCCAGGGGAGAGGCCGGTCTCCGATTTAGATACCGCTGGCACGGTCCGGTTTGGTGCTCGGAGGGGTGGGAGGCAGGCCCCGGGAAGGGCACTGCAGGAGGCATCCCGAGAGGGGCTGGGGACCAGACTCCCGTCAGAACGCCTCCTGTGCTTCAGCCACTCAGCGCCTGTCAGAAATTGCAGCGGACGCCAAGGTCACGGGGGAAGGCCGAGGGACACCAGCCCCGCCTCCTGCGCAGCGCCAGCGGCGCCCAGGAACAACGCTGCGGATCGGCCTCAGCGCCGGGCCAGGAGGGCTGGCCGCCAGGCCCCGCGCGGCTCCCAGCGGACGACGCCGACAGCCGCTTCTGCAACCTCCCAGAGCTCCGCACGGTGAGTGTCCCTCACCCCACTGACTGCCTGGTCACCCAGGTGCCCCGGGCAGTGGGAACGTGTCTACTGGCAAGCAAACCACGGAGGGCCTCGGAAGAGGGGATAAATCCCTGAGCATCGCCTGTGCCGCCAACAAAGCCACCTCCAGGGAGGGTAGGGGTCGTTATGGAACCCCCGCTCCAACCACGGGTGTGACCACACGCTGTGAGCTCCTGGGGTCCCTCCACCACACCCACCCCTCAGACAGGACAGGGTCACCAACAGCCCAGAATGTTCCTGCCATCAGCCCGCAGCAGGGGACCCAGGAGGCTGGGGGGATAGGGGTCAGGGGCACAGCCGCCTCCTCAGCCTTCCTCAGAGCAATCTGCTGCTCAGAGAACGAGGCTGAGCAGGCCTCAGAGGCCCGCCTCAGCATGGGGATTAGTGGCAGAGAAGGGGAAGGCAGAGGGCAATGGTACCCTCCCCCCACACCCCCGTGGTCCCAGCAGGCCCTCAGGCCTCCAGAAGGTCACCCAGGAGAGCTCCCCAAGAGAGGGGTTCCCCTCTGCTGCAGGCAAGCCAGGTCCGTCCTGATTTGCAGAGAGGCCCTGAGGTCTGGGGTGCAGCCCCACTGGCCGGGGGCCCCTCCCAGCACCACCCACCTGCCCAGGAAGCCGCCTCCCTGGCCTTGCCCTACCCACGGCTTGGTCTAGTGGGGCCGTCGAAACCCAAAAGTTCCCAGGAACACATCTAGAAATACACCCAAAGGATCGGGGGGAAGTGCAACAGGGCCCAGCACAGGGCCCAGCAGCCCCCGGGTGGGGGTTCCAAGGAGGGGCCAAGCACACGGGTGAGCCTCGAAGGTGGGAGCAGCACATCACCTAGAGCTTAGCAGAGAAGGATTCCAAATCTGCCAGTAACTTGATGTCATTCGGGAGTGTCAGCCACGCCCCGCCGTCAACCACCAGCACGGCGCCCGTCACGTAGGAGGCCAAAGGGCTGGCCAGGTACAGCGCGCTGTGGGCAACGTCCGTCTTATTGCCCAGCCTCCGCAGGGGGATGGCCAGAACCTTCGTGCTGATGCTGGCCTGGGGGCCACCTGGAAGGGCAGCAGGAGGCTTAGCACCGTGAGCCCAGGGCCCTCCACTGCCTTCTGCCCACCTTTCCCTAAACCACATCCAGAAACATTGGGGGCACCGCTGGCACCATGGGGGCAGAGTAGGCACAGGCAAGGTACGGAGAGCATGGCCGTAGAGCCAGCACAGGGCTTTGTGACATACACAAGGTCAGGGTTCTGGGAGCTCTAATGGGTGTCCCACTTGTGTCCAGCTCATACGTCAAGGCCAGCAGCCCTGTGGCCTCTGCCTCCAAGGAACAGCTGCCCGTGTCTGGCTGACCATTAGTCCATCACAGGTGTGCTCACCAAGAGTGGCCCAGACTCGGCTCGGGGACAGACACTTTGCCAACCCTGGGAGCCACGAGGAATTGGCCCTTAGCCTAGGCCTGTCCCAGTCTGGCAGGAGAGGGACCCGCAGAGGCTCCCCGAGGGGCTTACCGAGCCGCGAGAACCCCTCCGTGCCGCTGATGAGGCCAGGGGCGAGGCTGTTGACACGGATGTTCTGGGGACCCCACTCCACAGCCAAGTGCCGTGTCATCGCATCTGCACAGAAGGCATGCGGGCATGAGGAGGGATGCAGGGCTGCCCTGCTTTCTGGGGTGGCTTGGCTATGATCGGGGCTCAGGGCCAGAGCCGGGCCTCTCCATGGCCCACCACCGTGCTTAGCTTTCCTAGGACACTGTGGGCCTCCGGGGACAGGCCAGGGAGGGAGCCAACAGGAGCCCAGGCAGGCAGACCAGCGGGGGTGCCGTACCCACAGCCGCCTTGGCAGAGCCTGCGTGCACTTGAAGCACCTGCCCCCGGGTACCCAGGGTCGCAGTGATGTTCACGATCACCCCTCCATGTTCCTGTAACACACAGGGGAGCACAGTGAGCAGGTGGCCAGAAGAGGCCTTTCCCAGGTGGAAGGCACGCTCACCTGGAAGAACTTCTCATAAAGCACACGGGATGTGTTGAAGGTGCCCAGGGTGTCAATGTCCATCACGGTCTTGAAGGCATTGAAGGACAACGCGCTGGCAGGGCACAGGAAGTTTCCAGCTGCACCTGCAGGGTGCAAGGAGACAGTGGCCGGGGCTGGCACTCCAGGCGGTTAGGACACACGGGCCTCAGGATGGTCCAGGCTAGACGGAGAAGGGGCCCAAGCACTGGAGTACGTTCTTTGTCTCCAGTGATGACAAGGCAGGATGGATAGCGTGGGTGGAGCTGTGCTCCTCAGAAAGACACATGGAAGTGCTAATCCCTGGCACCTGGGAGTGTGAGCTTATTTGGAAATATGATCTTTGTAGACAATCAGGTTAAGATGATGTCATCCTGGGTTGGGGGGACCTAAATCCAAGAACTGGTGTCCCCCTGGGAAAAGAAGAAAAGACAGAGACACACGAGGGAGGCCATGCAGAGGCAGGCGGAGACCGGAGCAACGCGGCCCCAGGCCAAGAGCACCGAGGCTGGCCAGCAAGGGCAGAGGCTGAGAGAAAGGCCTGGCACTGATTCTCCCCGGGACCTGTCCGAGGCGGCCGGCCCTGCTGACACCTAGGTTTCGGATTTGTGATCTCCACAAGTGTGAGAGAACAAACTTCTGTCGTTTTAAGGCCCTCGGCTTGTGGTACTTCATTACCTACAGGACATTTATATACCCCACGTTTTTAAGAGGGAATTTCAGCAAAGAGTGAATCTTGACGGAAACTACAGGCTGGCTAATAATACCTATCATCCTGGTTCACCAACTATAACCAATGCAAGATGTTAACAAGAGGGGCCATTGCGTATGTATGGGGGGAGGGCGGTGCAATTCTATGTACCTGCTGCTCAATCATTCTATAAATCCTGACCTCTACTAACAAAAATTAAGCCTATTTTTCCCTTTTCTTTTTTTAAGGGAGAGTTTTGGGATACGGGAGTGGCCCAGCTCTGTGATTTAGCCGCGTTCCCAGGATGTCCAACCTTCTCTGTGACTGCACTGACCCAGGGGCCTGGGGCCCAGGCTTGGGGTCCCGAGGACCCCGCAACAGGGAGGTCTGGTACTGCCAACCCATCACAAGCCCCCCGGCCTCGCCCAGCAGCCACTCACAGTTAATGAGAATGTCAATTTTCCCAAACTCCTTCAGGGCCTGGTCCACAGCGGCTGTGATGACTGGGGGAGCTCGAACGTCCAGGGACAAAGGCAGGCACCGCTGGCCGGTGGCAGCAGCCAGCTTCCTGGCAGCCTAGAAGCCAGACGGGGAGGGAGGCGGGCAGCAGCCCAGGGGCCTTGGCCTGGAGCCGGGAGCCTCCTGCCCCATTACCCTCCAGGCCACCGTCCACCGTCAGGGGTCAAGAGCAGCCCCCGCTGACGTCCCGTCCCTGAGACCAGCTGTGGCAGGGCTGAGACCTTCCTCCCAGGTGGGCGGGACCTGAGAACCACCCTCAAAATGCATATGAGCTGAGGTCTCTCACGGGGCCACAGTACCACCCAACCTGAGGGCCTCCTCGCAAATATTAGATTGTGTAAAAAGCCAGGGGTGTCCCTGGGAGGAGGCCACTTGCGTTGAGGCTCCACATCTGGGGGAGGAACACGTTTTAGTGTCACCATCCTCTGGACCTCAGGACCCTCGAGGGTGGGGTGGGCCCAGGAGAAACCCCCTCACCAGCGACACTCTTGGAAGGCTTCTACTGGCGATGACTGTGTGGCAGCCGTGCCTGCAAAGCCAGAGCGCAGGGGTGAGGGCAGCAAGGCACAAGGGACGCGCCCAGGTGGGCTGCCACCTGGTGCTCCAGGCAGAGCTCCCTTCCCCCAAGGGTCTCCTGGGCTGCAGCACCAGCCCCAGGGCTGAAGGCAAGGACAGAGAGAGCCCATTCTGAGGCCAGGGTGCCTGCCTTGCCTCACCTGGCCACCTCAGCCTCACAGGAACAGCAGCAGCTACTGCGTGCTGAGTAGGTGCCACCTGATCTTCAAAAGGACCCTCAGCACAGCTGACTACACTCTGCTTGGAGCAACGACACACACAAAGTCACCAGCTTGGAAAACGAATTCACCTGGAATGGGTGGATCCCCAAATCTTATCCAGTGAGACTCCCTTCTCTGGTATGAAAAGTGGGGGCCTGGGGAAAACTGGGGATGAGTCTCTAGGATATCAGCAGGCTTCCTCTCCCCCAGCCCCAGCCTAACCCCGGCCCTGGCCCTGGGGGGGGGAGGGGAAGGGCACAAGTGGAAGTGGTTGACCTGGGCCTGAGGGCACAGATCTCCTTTCTCAAGAGACACTGTGCTCTTCACACTACTGGGGTCAACTCAGCTCACCCTGACCCTGGCTCCGTGAAGCCCCAGGGAGCTTAGCAGTAGAGTTACCTCGACGTGTTAAACCCTGGTGCTGGGGCCAGAGCCACAGTCTCAACTAATCTCTAGGACGAGACCTTAGAGTCCCACCTCCTTCAGGAAAGCACATGGGGTGCCTGGGTGGCTCAGTCGGTTAAGCGTCGGACTTTGGCTCAGGTCATGATCTCATGGTTTGTGGGTTCAAGCCCCACGTCGGGCTCTGTGCTGACAGCCAGCTCAGAGCCTGGAGCCTGTCTTCGGATTCTGTGACTCCTTCTCTCTCTGACCCTCCCTCACGCTGTCTCTCTCGCTCAAAAACATTTAACAAACAAAACATTTAAAAAATTAAAAAAAAAAAAAAAAAAGGAAAGCATATGAGCCCTTTCAGATGCTCTCTGATGGCCTGTGACGACCTGTGGCCTAGAGGGGTTCCCACCACCCACCAGCATCCTGCCCAGGGATCTCCGGATCGAGCGGGGTCCATGCAAGGTGGAACAAGTTCCAGGGGGCTGGGAGTGCACAGAGCAGTGCTCACCGCATGAAAATCTCAGCAATTCGGAACCCGATCCCAGAGCCACCACCTGTGATGAAGGCCACTTTGTCCCTAAGAAAACAGGAAGCACTTTATTTACTTGTCTTTTTTAAGAGGAGGCACTTTAAAGAGATAAATGGTTGTTGATTTAGGGGGTGGGAGGAAGCCAGAAGCTCTCTAAAAATTTTGGCTTGCTGCGCCGCCGGGCACTTCTATCAGATTTGCATTGTTAATAAGTAACATAGATGACTTTTAAAAAAATGAAATGCTGCTTTTTAAAGGCTGCATTCCTATGCTCTCCGGGATTTCCGGAAAAAAATTATTTCAACCTAAAAACCTCTATTCAGAAAGTTATCACTTAAGGGGCACCTAACTGGCTCAGTCAGTGGAGCATGCCAAGCTTGATTTCAGAGTCATGAGTTCAAGCCCCAAGTTGGGCAGGGCATGGAACCTACGTTAAAAAACAAAACAAAAAAAAAACAACAAAAAAGAAATTTCTCAATCAAGTGAGAAATGTTTTCAAGACACACAAGACTTCCTCGGCCTGCCTCTCGCTCCACCCTCCCAGGACCACCACCGGAGACACCCACCGCCACTGGCCAAGACAGACAACGTGCCCCCAGCAATGCGAAGGTCAGAATTCCAGAGCACGTGCGTCCCCAGGGCCACCTGGACATCGGGACTGTCCGGCCGCCAAGCACGGAGTCCCCACACCCCCGGTAAAACCGCAGGCCCGCGAGCCACCCCTGCAGAAGCTGCACGCCCCCGGGGCGCCCCCGACTCGGCCCTCACCGGAGCAGGTCTGGGCAGAAGAGATGGCGGTACTCAGGGAGACACTCGTCCTCACTGACGTCGGGCGGCGGCTGGGCCATAGCGCTCGGAGCGGGTCAAGGGCGGCGAGGGCAGCAGGGACCGACCCGAGATTCGGCAGCAGCGGAGCCTCCGAGACGCCCCGCGCGCTGGAGCCGTTAGCGCTCCGCTCCGGTCTGGATCCAGATCCGGAGTCTCCCCCGGGCCCGCACACAGCCGCCTCCCTGCTCCTCCCAGGACGCCCCGCCTACGGCGGCCGACCGCCCCGCCAGCCCCGCCCACGGCTTCCTCCACGCTCTCTCCAGGACGCCCCGCCCACAGCCGCCTCCACGCTCTCCAGGACGCCCCGCCCACAGCCGCCTCCCTGCTCCTCCCAGGACGCCCCGCCCACAGCCGCCAACACGCTCTCTCCAGGACGCCCCGCCCACAGCTGTCCTCTCCTCTCCCGTGACGCCCCGCCCACAGCGGCCTTCACTCTCCTCCCGGGATGCCCTGCGCACAGCGGCCTCCTCCTCTCCCGTGACGTTTGTCCCACGAGGCCGACAGCCCCGCTAGCCGTGCCCACAGCTTCTTCCAAGCTCTTTCCACGACGCCCCGCCCACAGCGGCCTCCACCTCCGCCCGGGACGCCCCGCCCACAGCGGCCCCGCGGCCCGGCGGGAGCGGAGGTGTGTGTGGGCCAGCGCTGTGCCGCCGGCGGCTTCCCGCCGCGGAGACCGAACCGAGAGGGCTCTGAGCCCGTTCCCGCCCCTGAACCCTTTTGACAATATTGGGCGTCAGTGCCGTGGTCGGAGCCAGCCAGGCACTGCGGACGCTAGGTGCCCAGGTTAAGGCGGCGCTCGCATGCCCCGCTGTGCATTTAAAACACCAGGCTGGAGGCGCCCGGGGGGGCTCAGTCGGTTACAATTACAAGCGTCCGACTTCGACTCAGGTCATGATCTCACTGTTCGTGGGTCGGAGCCCCGCATCGGGCTCTGTGCTGACAGCTCAGAGCCTGGAGCCTGCCTCGACTCTGCATCTCCCTCTCTCTCTCTCTCTCAAAAATAAATAAAACATTAAAAAAATAATAAAACACCTGGTTTAACTCCCCCGCCTCCCGGACACTTCTCTTAAAAGATGTCTAAGTAAGTGAATGCCAAGGCGGCCTCAGCAGGTGTAATGATATGCAATGTCCAGTACCTGTAACAAGTGACCGGGGACACAGGAGGACTAGAGGTGAGGTGCAATGTGTATTGTGACAGCGTGAAAACAAGGGGCATGAGGCAGATGGAGTCAGTCTCCACATGAGGCCACGAAGAGGGGAGAGGAGGGGAGGGGCCGTGGTTACCAGGCCTTCTGCCCTGAGGGTGACCCTAGTGGGCAGACCCCTTCTGGCCACCCTCCAGTCCAGCCCAAGGCAGTCCGCTCCTCATTCAGCATGATCAGATGAATGGGGGCTGGGGCAGCACCAGCTCCAGGGCTCAGCTTGGACCCCCCAAATTTCAGGCTGTAGGTCTCTGGACGCCTGCCTGTCTGATACATTCAATAAAGTTAATTGATCCCCTACTGGGGTGTGAGAAGATAAGCTTTATTTCAACACTCAAAACTCTTACAACTTTGCAAAGTCCTCATCCCTACCTCAGAGATGGACAAACTAATCAGCAATCCACCCCCATACACAACACAGTGAATTTTAATGTCGCCCCCTCCCACCCCGGTTTTGGGGGAAGGTCATAGTACACACTCTTGGGAGATGCCCCAAAGGCTGTCTGGCACTTGGGTACAGAAAGGACTTGGCCCGAGTTGTTACTGGCTTAGGATATTAAAAGGCACATAAAGTTAGCTGTCCAGCCTCTCTGAACTGGGGCGGGGCAGGAGGTAGACAGGGAGTAGGTCTGGGACAGAAGGGCAGACCACGGGTGTGGGCTCAAGTTCTTGTCGACAGAGGTAGTTGATCCTGGGTGGCTGAGGGCAGCCCGGGTGCTCAGCCTGGGTAGGTGCTGCTCTGGTGGCCTTCGTCTGCCCAGTCCACCAGCTCACTGCTCTGAAACCATAGCTGGATCTCCCTCTGGGCCCCCTCCACGGAGTCGCTGGCGTGGACGATGTTCCTGTGCCAAGTGATATGTGGCAAAGGTAAGGCACAGACCTCGGGGTGCACCTCTGGGGTCCCGGGGCCTGGCTGTTGATTCCGTACTGTTAAGAGGAGCAAGTCTGGTATTGTGCAGAGAGGAAAGCAAGAACAGGACTGGAAGACTGGTTCCAGCCTGGCCTTGGCCTCCTACCCACAACCTCATGACCCGCCCAGGCCATTTCTGGGAGCCTCATGTTCCCACCAATCATCCAGTGCCAGCCCTGCGAGGTGTCTGGCAAGGCAGTCAGGTGACAAGAAATGACAGCAGAGTTCACGCACGACACGTAGAGAATGTGTTATTGTCTCCTGTGTACAAAGGGCTTGAAAAACCTGTTCTAGCAAACACGAGGTATGTGTGACATCCCAGCACTGAAAATCTCTTCTGGCTTTGCTTTGGCCCGGTCCCATGGATCTGCCTTGGGAGCAGATTGCCACCCCCACACTTGGACCCTCCTCAACCCTAATGAGCTGGCCCATCAGCTCCAGTGGCTGAGTGTGTCAGGGTCCCCAGACCTGCTGATGTGGACGCTGAAGTCCCCCCTGATGGTGCCGGGGGCGGCCTCAGCTGAGTTGGTGTGTCCTATCATGGCCCTCGAGGAACAGACCACGTTGGGGCCTTCCCAGACCTGCAGCACAGAGATAAAGGAGGTTGGGAGAGGTGGGGATCGCCAAGCAATTCTGGGCTCAGGCCAGGGCCCTCCACCCCCTCCACTACCCCTGCCTGCCATACCATGGCTACCACGGGGCCGGAGGTCATGTAGCTGATGAGAGCTGGGTAGAAAGGCTTCCTCTGCAGGTCATGGTAGTGCTCGGCAAGGACTCTCTCTGGCGCCTGGGTGGCATTGGGGTGAGGGGTGAGAGGGGCCTCTGGACGGGGAGCCCCGCTGGACACGGGGGCAGTGAGCACAGTATCTTTGCAATATTTGCAAAATTTGCAACCTGACGACACTTTGCAAATAACAGCACAACGGGCTGGCACACCGACAGATACCTCCCCCCGCTTCCCCTTCTACAGCCAATACCAGGATGCTCCTCCTGACGCAGAGCTGAGATGTGAAGGGTGGGGTCCATGAGAAGCCCCCCCACTCCAGTCCCCTCAAGGACACCCATGGATCGAGAGCCCTGTTACCTGCAGCATCTTCATCCCCACCAGCTTGAAGCCCCTCCTCTCGAAGCGCTGGATCACATCCCCAACGAGCCGCCGCTGCACCCCATCTGGCTTCACTGCAACCAGGGTCCGCTCCCGGGTCCAGGAAGACCCTCCTTTAGAGGAAGGGGAATCAGGCCTCACCCTTTCAGGTCTCCCTGAACCTGGATTTCCCTGCCAGGGTCCGGGTGTCAGCTGAGCAGCTCTGGGGGGACAAGTGCATGGTCTAGCCAACAAATGCCCAGCACGGCACTGCCTTCCAGGGACAAGCAGGGCGGCGGGTCCCCCCTCTTCCAGCCTGTCCGAGGGGCCACGGCTCCTCTCAGGCAGTGGCAGGAGCACCCATGACGGACCCAGTGTCCCCGAGAAGGCATCTCCGAGAGCTGGGGAGGCACAGCTCAGCTCACCGGCCACTCAGAGGCCCAGAGATGCCACACCGGAAAGAAACAACTCTCGGCCTTGCTTTTGACTCCAGTCCTTTGGAGTGATGGCCGACAGCGTCTCCACTCCCAGCCTGCCACACGAGCAAGGGCCCAAAGCCCACCTCCTGGGTCCAAGGTGCAGGGATGGCAGGGAGCCGGGGAAGAGTGAGGTGCACTGTCCCTGCACACACTGGGACGGAAGGGAGCTGGGGGCCGAGGAGGAAGGTGGAAGGTGGAGGGTGTCTGTAGGTGGGGACACCCGAGGGCTCCTCCTCTCGCGCCTCGCTGGCCAGACAGGAACTCTGGGCTGCTGGAGGGTTTCAAGGCAGGATGCTTCCAGAGCCAAGTACAGGACTGAGCTGGGCCCCCGTCCTTCCCTGGGGACACTGCCAGGGAGACAGGAAGCATCATCACCCCTCACAGCCTCAGGCCACAGAGTTACCCTGACCCTCAGCACTAGGTCAGGGGTCTAATGTGCCTTTGAGAGAAGCCTAAACCCTGCGCGACCTGCGATGAGGAAGAACAGAACTGGTGAAGAAGTGGTAGGATCGGGAGGGGCCAGTGTCCCTGGGGGTGTCTGCATCTGCGGTTTCCCTAACTCCAGGGGGAAGGTCAACGACAACGGGCGCTGAGTCTGGACAGCAGGCAGTGGGTGCCCACCAATTCCCTTCAGGACTGAATGAAGCCCCCCCGGAAGAAGTCCCCCCTCCCGGCTTGTCTGTTCCCCTAAAACCCCGTGCCTAGGTGCCCTCTGGGCAGCTTGGCCGGCTGCCAGCTGTCCCGTCCCTGGGAAGAGGGCAGTTCGCTCTTTCCGGCGTCTGGAACACCGAGACCTCTGGCTCCAGGGAGCACCCTGCGGGTCGCAATTAGGGGGAGAACCCGCTACAGACACGGGCCCCAGGACCCCAGGCGCGGACGCGGGACGGAGTGGGGGCCTGGAGCAAACGCCCTGAGAGCAGCGGCTCCGTGTGGGCGCGTTCACCTGCTCAGAGCGTCCCCCACAGCAGCCCCAGGTCTCCTGGGACGCTCACCACCGTCTACTGCGGCCACCAGGCCTCTGGATTCCTCCTGCTCCGGAGCCCTCAGGGCCCCCGGCTCCCAAGCAAGCGGCACGGCGGGTGGACGGCGGCGGGGGGCAGCGAGCGGTGGGGAAGGACGTGCAGGGCGCCCCCGGCCCGCCCGGCGGGAACCCGGGGCCATCCAGACGCGCGGCGGCCGCACGCGCGCCAACAAAGGCCGGGCTACGCCCCCCGCCGACCCCCCAGCTCCGCCGGTCGCGGGCGGGCAGGACCACTCACCCGAGCTGGGGCGCGCGAGCGGGCTCAGGCCTGCGGCCCGCGGGCAGCTCAGCAACCCCGGCAGCGCTGCGCGCCCCAGGAGGCCGCCCATGACCCCCGGCCCGCGGGCCGCTGGCGGAGCGCGGGATGAACGCGGGGAACTGAGCCCGCAGCGCGGAAGGGCGGAGCGGAGGGGCGGGAGGGAAGGGCAGGGGAGGAGAGGGCGGAGCGGAGGGGAGGGACGG